TTCCTTTTTTTCTGTCTTCAGAGAGTATCCCAAACTTGAACTATTACCTGTCTGGTTCTATTTTCCTCTCATGCTGACCTTGAGTTTTCTCCCTGTTCTGTCTGATTCACAGCATCTGATGAACTCTCTATATAGCCCTCTCCCAGTCTTCCTGCTCCCTAGGCTATCTAAACTCAGGGCAAGAATGATACCTCCATGCTAGGAACCATTTCTGACTTCCCTCCTTTGAATTTACTGTCCCAAAATTTTATTGGGTAGCCCTGGGAGTGACTAATCTGATAAATTAACTATTAAATATTCTGTACTCTAAAATTCTGCAAGAAACTGGCAACGGACGATGCCTTCTACTGCTGGAAATGTTTAGATTTTAAGAAAACACACAAAGATACAGTGTTTAAAGGTTAAACCAAAGTATCAAAGTGGGGTTTTTGAGGCAGTAGAGATTGTTTCCTAGGTAGGGTTTTGCAGAGGTGGAACATGTGGGAACCTATGCAGGTGTCAGAAACAGGAGCACTCACTTAAAAATCTCCTCAGCTACTCCTAGTGTTAAACAAAGTAAGCAGGAGGTAATTGACCGGAGGCTGCTTGAGTATTTTGAGTTCCTATGTAACAAACCACAGTCCTAACTTACATCATCATACATAAATAAACAGAAACCTTATTTAAGAAAACGTTTTGGTAACAAGTAGCTGAGTTTCAGCCAATCACAGGCAGCCAACTGATCAGACCATGCTCAGATCAGGCAAACTTCTAGCAATAACCAATGAACTTATCTCTTTGTATAACCTGTGAAAGCTCACTGCCCACACTGCAGCGTGCTCTCTGACTTTCTTTTGGTTTTCAGTGTTTCCCAATTGATGAATCATTTTTTTTTTTTTGCTCAAATAATAATCTGCAAAATTGAATCTGTCTAAAATGTTTCTTCTACCAGCAGGTACTTCCAGTCAGTCATTTCTGTCAGCAAATTCTCTCTTTGGAAGTCAATTAGTCTTGTGGTTCTTTGCACCTTACTGTGAATTACTGCAAGCTTGATTCCTCCATGACACTTGTATGAGATACTTGGTCCTTGTGAACACAGTGTTTAGGAGCGAGGTTCAGAATGCAGCAGAAGGGTCACTTTGGAGCAAGGAGCATTTCTGAAGGAAGGAAGACCTCATCCATGTTCAGCTGTGAGGGGATATGAGCTCTTAGAAGGCCAAGTGCAGTACTTGGGGTAGGGTGTCAGGGGCTGGTAGAAAGGGGTCAAAGATAAACCTGGCTGAACTTGCTGCTTCAAGTTCTCCTCTGCTGATTTTGGGCAGGGAGGCATCTCAAATAGCACTACCTTATCCAGTTGGTCCTACTATGAGAAAGTCTACAAATGCCCTTATGTGAAGGTCCTGGGTCTCCCTCCATTCCTTCTTAGTATACTTTGATATAAAGACCCTTGTAATTGCAGTATATAGGTGTTAGGATCTTAGACTTCACAGACACACTGGGTTCAAACTGTAATTGTTTCTGAAATTCCATCTGTTACCTCAAGGGCTCAGGGAAGATGCAATGGGTTAAAGTATCTGCAATGTAATAGTGTTCCGTTAAGTGTTAGCTGTCATTATTTGCAGTAATCTTACTCACTCTCTGTAGGTGACCCTGCACTGTTTCTTAATGCTTTGGTCTTCAACTTCCTTATCAGCAAAGTTATGATTATCAAGCTCAACTCACTGGTTCCTTGTGAGGAGAAGATGAGAAACACAGGTCTAGCATCAACTGCAGTAAATGGGCTGAGTTGTTAATAATGGCTACTGATTGTACTTCCTGGTTGGGGACGGATTTGAACAAACATCAACAGAAGTCTCTTTCTTCAACAATGAGCAAGGTAAGTGATAGGTCCTTAGTAGAAGTAGATTAGTACCCCAGGTTTGGGGGAATTCAAATGCCTTTCCCATTCCTATATCCTTTCCATGATAAATTCCCAGCAAGTGCATGTCTTGCTTCTCGTGGGTCAGATGCAAAAACCCAGTAACACTCTGTAACTCAGCCTCCAGTGAAGTGTTCACTGGATTGAAGAGCTGGCATTAGATCAATGAAGAATCAAGAGAAATAGGAGGTGGAAAAGTAGAAAGCCTCTAACTTTTGGATTCTAGCACAAACTAAGATTGGACCATTTCCTACCATGCTGCCAAAGTCTTGTCAAACACCTAGCAAACTGCACCATTGTCCAACAGGAAAGGCAGGCCTTACCTTCAGGCTGATTTGGTTGGTCTCATTGTTTTCCAGAGGAAAGATATTTTCAGGAGGAATGTGGGACCATTTTTTCTGACGAAGTTGATTATCTCTTTTATATTTTCTGTGGAAGGAACAGAATTGGTTGATAGGTTTTATTAGTGTCCGGGCTGTTCAATTTCTGAAGACCAGGAGAAATTCAGGACTCTGGTGTTCTCAGACAGACATGTGTTGAGGAAGACTAGTTCAGTGGTGAGACTCTCCATGCCCCAAACTGGCCAGTGCTGGCCATTAGTGGACCCATAGGAGGTTTCGTGGACTTCTCTGTTCTTTTGTGTTTGTTTCATTTTACTTTCCTTGATCCTTCACTATAATAAAGGGTCTGAACCGATGACATGGAAACATGAGGGAACAAAACAGAAAAAAAATCAAAACTGATAGCCTTACATGGCAGAAATGTTCATTTTTAAACCACCAACGAAACACACCAGATTCTAAGTAAGCCAGTTCTTTTTACACATCTGTGCCTTATGTTTAGAGAAAATGAAAAAGCACAGAGACAATGCAACAACATGTGTCCCAATTTATAAAATGTTAGAATCTTGTCTATCGTGCACATGAGGAAGAATTCTTGAGTTTTTGGGAAAGCTCACTTTGAGCTTTTACAGATATTGCCAAATTACTTCCCACAGTGGTAGCACCAATTTACCTTCCTATGTTCTTAAGAATATTTAGTATTGTTAATTTTTTCCCTTATCTTTATGATGCATGTTAATGGTGTGTCAGTTTTGCTTTAATTTGCATTTCCTTGATGACTACAGAGATGGTCTTTTGAAATATTTGCTACATATTTTATAGAATATATAGAATCATAGAATCATTTACTTATAATTTCTCTAATATTTTTTATTATGCAATTTTTTTCTTTTCTTTTTCTTATTAACTTTTGTGAGTTCTTTATGTCTTCTGAAAAACAAGTCCTTTTGTGTTAAAAATACCTTCTCACAGTTTATTCTTTTAACTTTGCTTTATGGAAAATTTTGATTTTACTAATTTTGATTTTACATATTTATAGTTTTCTTCTCTGACATTTTTTTAATCAATGACTGAATCACACTTTCCTAATCTGACTTCATTAAGTCATTTCCTAAATTTCTTCTATATTCTGAAGTTGGTTTTTCACATGCAGATCTTTTTTTCTTTTAGTTTTTGCTACCAGGGATTGAACACAGGGGCGCTGAAACACTGAGCTTAGGGCCTTGCTAAGTTGCTGAGGCTGGCTCTGAACTCATGATCCTCCTGTGTCAGCCTCCCAAGCTACTACACCCAGCCAATTTCATGTAGTTTTAATTTCATTTTTTACTTGTGGGAAGCTTAAACTGTCCCAATATCACATCCTAACTGACTTGTAATATTATCTCTGTAATATAAGCAAGTCCCTATACTTGCTTGAGTCTGATTCTGTAATCAATCTTCTTTTCCATTGACCTATTTGTCCCTGAATACCTTTTTGTTTTTAAGTCATTTGACAAACTGCATCTCACCTTTTTAAGTTCATTTATAATGCCTTTCTCATACTTTCCTAAGCAGAAATCATTATTTTCCTCCTATGCTTCCGTCCAGCTCTATTAAATACACATAAATAGCATAGTATTAACTAGTTATTTTTACAGTAAGACTGGGAGCATGGAGAATGACTCTTGAGACATTGAAGGCAGCCAGGCACCCATGGAGACTCTTGGAACTCAACAGAACCAACTGTCATTCATATTGAATTAGGGATTCTATAGACCATTTACTACTTTTCTTGTTATATTGGAAGAATACATGAATGACAACTATTTGCCAGGTCCCCTAGAGGAGACTCTGGCCATGAGGAAGTCCTCTTTCTGCCTCCCATGTTTAGAAACAATGGGAAATACGTGTCACTTTTGTCTTGCAATTTGCTCCTCTCTTAAGCTGACTCTCATTTGGACTTGACTTCTGAAGGAAATTTTGGCTTCTGCTCATTCTTGACTAAATGGTCACCCTGTCTATTGTGTATATTTCTAAGCAATACAGTTACAGGATCCCAGCTCTGCCTTTGGATTGAAGAAAACAGCCCACTTCCTTCCTGCTAAAATAGGAAAATTGGAATAGATGATCTCTAAATCCTCTCGCAACCTAAATATCATGTAGTACCATGATTTTAAAATCTCCCACAATATGCCAATAAAACAGTGAGAATAGCTAGTTTTCATTTACATAATGCTTATTATATTGCACTCTGTGTACATGACCCATTTCATATTCTCATGGCAGCTCAGAGGAAGAAACTGAAGCAAAATAACTTAAGTTTAAGTTGTTGAGTAGCGTGTGCTTGAGACCTCAAAACTGGTAAGCACAGAACTGGGTCAGAGTTCAGGCGTTTGACTCAGAGCTCTAATCTGCCCCCCAGGTCATATTCTGTCCTTCTGTAGTCTTTGATGCAGAATGCCTTCATGATCTTAGGTCTGTCTAGAGATCTCCTTGTGAGCACGTGTGAGCAGCAGAGTCAGATCTCTGCCTCCTTCCTCCTTCGAATGAGGAGCATTCTGTGGCAAGGAGGGGAGGTACCTCAGCACCAGGAGAGCAATGATCAGGACCAGCACCACTGTCCCTGTGAGCGTGAAAACAGCAATCATCAGGATCTGAGGGCCTGTGGCAGGAAAGAGTAGAAAATGCATTAGCAGGCTGTTTGAGAAGAGAATGAAAACATTTCACAGATTCTAGTTGGGGAAGGGACAGAGAAAGCCCTTTTGAAAAACATTATTATTATTATTATTAATTGTTTCTTGGGTAATTTATGTCCTGTGTTCCAGTCCTGAAAAAAAATCAGCCTGGCATGTGCCCAGGGAAAGCAGTTTCATTTCAGCTCTCCTTGAAGCCTATATTTCTCTTTTATCTCTAACAGGAATCACCCAATGGTTATAAGAACATAAAGTGGTTTCCAGCACACAAATAATTGTGGGAGTCGAAGCCTACCTGCTGTCCTTGAAACCAATATACCCCAGGAGGTTTCACAGAGAAGAAACAGACAGTTAGTTTTTTAAATGCAGAACACATGTTGGAAGAAGAGTCAGTGTAGACTGTTAGATGACGGCGTTGCAGGCTGGTTCTTTCCAAGCTCTCTGGGTTATTGAGGTGGTCAGGGAGGAATGTGATTTTCGTTATTAGAACACTAGTGTATGGGTGGAGTTAAGTAGATGGAGTAAGTTGAGAGACTCTCAGAAAAGTTAGTGGAATTCAGGAAAATGTGGATCCACCCCCAGGAAGCTTTGAAGCAGAGTCTGAGAATGTGAAGGCCTATGCCTGGGAGGAGAAG